GAATGAGTGAGTGAATGAGTGAATGAGTGAGTAAATGAGTGAGTGAGTGAATGAGTGAATGAGTGAGTGAATGAGTGAATGAGTGAGTGAGTGAATGAGTGAGTGAATGAGTGAGTGAATGAGTGAGTGAGTGAATGGATGGATGGGGAGAAAGGGAGGGCAAGACACAGAAAGATGAGGAGAGAGAAACTGGGCGTGTTGGTGCAGTCCTGTCAGCCCAGCACATGGGAGACTGAGGCAGGAGTGCTATGAGTTTATCAGACTGGGCTACATAGCAAGATCCTGTCTCAAAGAGAGACAGAGAGAGAGAGAGAGAGACAGAGAGACAGAGGGAAGGAGGGAAGGAGAGGAGAAAGTGACTCATGTAGCCTAGGCTAGCCTTGACCTCACTATGTAGCCAAGGATGACCTTGATCTTCTCATCCTCCTGCCTCCACATCCTGAGATCAGGAATGACAGGCTTGTGCCCCTGTACCTGACTCTTCTGATGTTTTGAGACAGGGCTCACTCTGTAGCCCAGGCTAGCCTGGAACTTGCAGCAATCCTCCTGCTTCAACTCCCTGAGAGCAGGAACAACCAGGGTATCCTACCACACTGTTCTTTACTGTGTGATAGGCCAAGAACCTCCTCCCCTTCTGTTTTCAGCCCTGAGCAACTCCATGGACTACTCAGGGTCAGTTGGAGATGTTTCTGGCACTAGAGATATTTCTGGGGAGTAGGGGCTGCACAGCATTTGGTCCCAGAGAAGCCCTGGAGCCACCTGTCAGTCACGCTGAGATGCACACACTGACACAGGTGACCAGAGCCTCCCACCAGGAACCGACTCTGGGTTGTGGAGGGCAGTGTTGATGGGCCAGTGTGGAGTCAGGGGCCAGCTACAGAGCCTCCCTGCTGATGCCACTCCTAGGCCGCCGCAGTGTGCCCTGCCTGGAGAGTACTACAGGAACAGGCCTCATCTTTCCTCCTCATCACTGCCTTCAACCTTTTATCCCTTCCAGCCCTGTGCCCCATGCCCTGGGGAGCTCATAAAGTCCAGCCCTCAGAATTCTGGGGGGTGGGGGTTCCAGGACCCTTCTGTTCACACTGTCCCTTACAGATGCTCACGTGCTTTTTCTAAAACCAAGTACTGGGGGCTGGGGAGCTGGCTCTATGGTTAAAGCACTTGCTGTACAAGAATAAAGTCCAGAGTTCAGATCCCTGGAACCCTAGTAAATGCCACGATTGGCTTGGTGCCCTGAAATTCCAGCTTCAGAAGATGGAGACAGGAGATCCCCAGAGCAAGCTGACTAACAAGACTAATCAGATACCCGAGTTTGTGAGCTCTGGGTGTGACTAAGAGTCCCTGCCTCACCGAATAAGGTAGGAGAGTGATTGAGGACAATTCCTGACATTAACCTGGGCTTCCACATGTGCACACACACACACACACACACCACACCACACAGAAATGGAAAAAAGAAAAACCATTTTATTATATACCTAGAACCCGCGCACATCCTTCCTTCAAATCACATCATGCCTGATGTAGTGTTCACGCTGTGAGCACAGTTGTTTGTATTGTTCAGAGTACAGGGAGGAATAAGCACCTCCTAGGTTATGTAAATGGAATAATATGCACCAGGAAGGATAGTGGAAACAGGGGGGGGAAACCTGGAACCTGGAACAGTGATCACAATGTGGAAGCAATTCAGCCTGAGTCAGGGCCTCCAACCCCCCTAAATTCAGCCCGAGTCAGGGCCTCCAACCCCCCTAAATTCAGCCCGAGTCAGGGCCTCCAACCCTCCTAAATTCAGTCTGAGTCAGGGCCTCCAACCCCCTTAAAATAAAACAAAAAAGCTTGGGTTGTATGAGTTACAGCATGTGGTAAAATTTTTGATACTTAATATTTTAATTTTATTACACTTTTATTTATTTTGTATGCGTATGTGTGGGAGCATGTTACCATAGTGCACATGTGGAGTCAGAGGATAGCTTTCAGGGGTCTGTTCTCTCCTTCCACCATGCAAGTCCTAGGGACTGAACTCAGGTCGTCAGGTGTCTTTACCTGCTGAGCCATCTCTCCAGCTCTTGGTATTCAACATTTTCTACAAGACTTCAGATGATTTTCTGAAGGAAAAAGTGGCAGATCTCATCTCTTCCCAGAATTCCCAAGAAGTGAACTAGATGTTTGCCTCACATTTTTCTCTGGGTACATTGCTTCCATACCTGAGCTGTGCCCTTGTAAGCCCCCAAAAGAGGGTGTTCAGCCTCATCAGCACTCATATTTGGGGCTGGGAGCTTGTCTGTGGTGTGTAGGGTTCCTCTGTGCATCATGGGACCCTTAGCGGCACTCTGGACTTGGATGGTCTAGATACCAGCCAGTCAACTGTCCCAAATGTCAATCAAAACTGTCTCCAAATCAGGTCCCTGGGTCGAACGCCAGCCATCCAGAAAACATGACAGAGCTTAGCATTTGGGATTTCAGAGTGAACAGAGCAGATAGTTCTGTGTTGACCGAGGGCTGGGGTTGCATGAGCCAGTTTTATCTAGCCCGCGGCTGGGTGCTGGAGGATGGCCTTGCCTACGATAGGATCCGTTAGCGCCGCACAGGAAACTGAAACTCAGCAGCATCTGCTGTTTCAAAACCGAACCATGATTGGCCTCAGGGCCCTCCAGGGAACATCTAAAAGCGTTTTCGAACAAGCGAGGAAACTGACTCTACCTGGGACCTGAGAGGCAGTTATGAGTTAATTTTGAGGTCAACTTGGACTACCTGAGACTTTCTCAAAATAAATAGAAATAAAAGAAAAATGGCTTTACCTTTGAGCTTCGACTCTGGGGGTGAGGGGAGACTACAGATCCCTGAAAGTTTTTTTAACATCTGAGCCTGCAGCTGTGGCTTAGAGGTGCTTGCCTAGCATGCCTAAGACCTTGGCTTCCATCCCCAGCACTGCAAAACAGACAAAAAATGGGTGATTAAAATCACGTGTGGTGCGCAGGCCTGTGATACCAGCACTCAGGAGGTTGAGGCTAGAGAATTTCGGAGTTCTAGGCCAGCCTGGGCTACATAGGATGTTGTCACAAAATGAAAAAAAAAAAAGAAAAAAGAAAAAGAGCCAGACTACCCTGTGGAGGACCTTCCTCCTATTCCCAGGGTAAGCTCTGGAGTTTTCAGAGTCCCTAGCAAAGGGCTGGGCTGGCTCACACCCCTGAGTGCAGCAGGAAGTGAACCAGGGTACAGTATTTACTATTGAAACATGAATCAGATTACCATCCCCATTTCTGCTTTTCACAGATTACCCAACAGCTCTAGCAGTTTCCACGGTCACTGTGGCCCCAGGGGAGGAAGGATGAAGAGAGGAAATCCCAGCCTCTGTTGCAACTGGGGTGAGAGTTTGCAAACTGCCCCTCTGCCTAAAGGCTATTTTCACTTTCTGGAGGAAACTCGGGCAATTGCCAGTAGTCTTGGCTACCCAGGCCCCAGAACAGGGAGGACTCTTTCAGGGAGAGGAACCTGTTCACCTAAGGGAAACACTTGGGGCTGGCTGCCCCCAGGCATTGTCTTGTCTCATAACCTCCAGGTCTCATAACCCTCCAGGGTTAGACACAGAGGCAACTGCAGAACCCGTGATGTGTCCAGAGCATGGTGGCACAAGTCATGCCATGCCATCAACTGGGAGGCTAACAAGAAGATGCCACCTATCTCAGGCCAGCCAGGGATAGTCTGAAAAACCTAAAATCAGAGTCAGTCCTGCCAATCCCAGCACTAGGGCAGGTGGATTAATTCAAAGTCATTAATTTCTTAGTTATTTGACCCTGTATCTCAAAACAAGAGTTCAGTGGGTAAAGGCGCTTGCTACCAAGTCCGGTGACCTGAGTTCAAACCCTGAGATCCACATGGTAGGGTAGAGGACCTGCAAATTGTCCTCTGGCCTCTGCATTTGAGCTGTGACATGCACACATCCAATAAACATTAAAAAAAATTCCAAATTTAAATTATTTTATGTGTGTGCATATATTGCCTTCATGTAGGTAAGTGCACCCATGTTGTGCAGTGCCCATGGAAGACAGAAGAGGCCGTGGATCCTTGGAAATGGAGTTATGGAAAGTTGTTAGCTGCCATGTTGGTGCTGGGATTCGAACCCAGGTCTTCTGCAAGAACAGCCAGTGTTCTTAATCACTGAGCCATCTCTCCAGCCCCTCAAAAATTCCAAATTTAAGGATAGCTTGGGCTACATAGCATGTTGGCACATGGTGGTGCACATCATTAATCCCCAGCACTCAGAGGCAGGTGGATTTCTGAGTTCTAGCCTAGCCTGGTCTACATACCTAGTTCCAGGTCGACCAGTACTGCATAATTTGAGACTGTTTCAAAAATAAAATTTTAAGTAATGAAAAAAGCTTGCATACTCCAGGTTTGGCTAAAACCTTAGAAACTTCCAGAAAGATAAAAATATTTTAGCCCAGGGACAGTCACATCAGAACATTTTCCCCAGCCCAGGGGGACAAAGACGTAAATTATGGCTGCAAGAAGAAGCAACCTTAAAATAACCACCCACAGTCCTAAAACGCAGTATTTAAATTTATAGAAAAACCACAGTTCCTAGTCACTGGCGGCTGGGGGTGCAGCTGGCAACCTCAGCCACAGGCATTTCTGCCCCCTCAGCCCCTCCCTCTAGTCAGACCAGAGCTGTGATTCTGTCAAAGGTTAAAAACATTTTTTTAATTAAAAAAACACCAAGTCTTATAAAAAACAAAGCAGGCAGAGCAACAATGCCCACCCATCTCCCTTATAGCAATACAATATCTGTCACATTTATATACAATATTATAAAAAATGTCGGGACAGTACACGAAGACTTCTCACAAGGCATCTAGCCTCGATCCTCTGGGGGGACCCGAGGGAAATAAGTCAATTATTGCACCATTTTGAAAACAAAATTCGTCAGAGGCTGTCTTCCTCCCCCGGGGCCTTCAGTCTTGATGAGAGCCAGGGTGGTGGTGTCGTCCTGTGTGGGTGTGAGGGGCTGCCCCCAAGTGTGGCCACACTGCCCAGCCGGGTCCTCGGAGTCTAATAAATACAGTCACAGTTTGCAAGGTGTCCGAGCCTGTGCATGGGACCTGCCACGGCCAGGCATCGGCAACGAGAGTGACCAGCTACATGTGTCGCTTCATGTGCAGGGCCAGGTGGTCGGATCTGGAGAAGGCACGGTCACACAGGTGGCACTGGAAGGGCCGGTGGCCTGTGTGCTTTCGATAGTGGCGGGTGAGCTCGTCTGAGCGGGCGAACTTCCAGCCACAACCGTCCCAGTTACAGTGGTAAGGCTTCTCACCTGCAGGAAAGGGGATGGCAAGCGTGAGCCTCGGTTCCCGGGCTGCACCAGTGTGGGCATCCTAACCAGCGCCATGGCACCTGTGCCCCACCCTGTCTTCTGTTATCTTCAGGAGTCTAAAGAGCTCCCATGCCGCCTTCGAACTTACAGTCACATTTCCAGAGGGTCCCATTCTAGACAGAGACCTCCTGGGCTTCTTAGACCCTCTCCCCAAGATGCTGAGCCATGCCCCAGCAGACACCCCTCACACTTGGAGATTATGTCTCCCGTGTCCCCAAGTCTCATGTGTTCCAGGCTAGCCTTGAACTTGCTATGCAGTTGAGGCTGACCTTGAACTCCTGATCCTCCTCCCTCCATGTCCAGTGCTGGGATGACAGGGCCCCACTAGGCTTATGAAGTGCTGGGGATGGAGCCTAGCGCCTCATGCTTAAGACAGGCGGTCCCCCAAGGAAAGCTCCCCACATACTTAATACCAGTCTGTTCTGTCCCTCTCCAAAGCCTGGAGAGAAAGACCCTTAGCCACACTCCCAGCTCTTCGAACTGGGTACCATACGCTCTGGGGACAAAATCCCCCACTTCTCGGGCCACGCCCCTTAGGAAGGGGTAGCCGGTACTTGTCTCCAGTCTGACCCGTGCCAGGACTTTCCCCCTCTCTTTGGGACGTTAGTCTCACTATAGTCCAAGGTGGCCTAGAACTTGGCAATCCCCCTGGACACTGTGCTGTCAGGTACGCGGCTCTCACCTGTGTGCGTGCGCAGGTGCGCCTTCAGGTGCGAACTTTTGGTATAGGTCTTGCCGCAGTTGGTGTAGCTGCAGGTGTGCGTGGCTGCGCGCTTGCGGGGCCAGGAGCGCCGGCCGCGCTTGGGTTTCGCCTCCAGCAGCTCCAGCGGGGATGAGGGCGGCGTGAGAAGACCTCGGGCAGCGGGCGGCGCCAACCCCAGCGCTGCTGCTGCAGCAGCAGCATCGTCAAAGAGACTGAAGGTGCCGGGTGCAGGTGGCCCGTAGTGCAGCGCGGGCCCCGGGGCTCCGAAGCCTGGGCCACCGAAGGGCGGCGGGAACGGGTTGCGGGGTCCGGGTGCCGGCAGGCGCGCGGGGCCGTCGGGGCTGAGCGGTGGTGTGTCCGGGGGAGGCGGAGGACGGCCCCCGGGACCCCGCATGCATGCACCTGCCGCTCCCGGGGCTCCCTCTCGCTTCAGACACCGGGGCGCACGAGTCAGGCCCGCGGCGCAGCCGTAGCCACCGCCGTCCACCTCCGGGGGCTCTGCCTTGACCAGCCGTCCCGGGGGTGCCAGCAGAAAGCGACCCTGCAGTGCGGGCCCCGGAGGCACGTCCAGCTCCGGCCGCAGCAGCTCCGACACCAGGCCACCCGCGGCGGAGCCGTAGGGCGGAGGGGCTCCGGGCTCCGGGTAATAGAAAGAAGGCGGCGGGGGCTGCGGCGGCTGCTCCGAGGCGGACTCGGCGCCCAGCCCGTCCAGTCCCATGGACAGGATGAAGTCTAGTACGCTGTTGAGGTCTTCGTCCGTGCCGCTGGCCTCCGGCTCGGTGCGTGGCCAGCGCTGCAGGCGACAGGGCGTGGGTGTGAGCGCAGCGCGCCTGGAGTGCCGAGTTCTGTCTGTACCCCGTGCTCGGCCTCCACTAGCCTTCGGCTTCCCCGCAGCCCACGGTCTCATACCATCTAGATCCTGCCAGCCACAGCCCGGGACCCTCGGGCTCTGCCGCCCTAGGTCTCCTACCCATACAGAACCGCGGTCTGCAGCCAACCTCGCCTACTTCCCAGAAGCCCGGTCTACTACACAAGCTCGCCGTCCGGTCCGCTACCCCAACGCACTCCCTGACTTCGCCTCTTTCCCTTCCCGCTGCCCACGGTCTGCTCTCGACAGCCGCCAACCTGCGCCGTGCAGCCCGAGCCCCGAACCCCGCCACCTGCGATGTCCCGCCCGGCGGCCGCGGTCTCCCACCCTGCGCGCCCCTCACCTCCTGGAGGCTGCGCTCGAGGCACGGGCTGGCAAAGGTGGAGAAGGACGGCAGGATGGGCTCGCTCAGCGTCATGGTGGGGGACCCGGGGAGGAGCACGGGGGAGACGGAGAAGGTGGGCGGCGGGAACGACTCTGGGGCCACGGCCGGGCGCGCCCAGGCCTTATAGACGCGGCAGGCTCGGGGCCGGGCCAAGGGGGCGGCGGCGGAAACGCGTCCCGGATGGGGACGAGCTCTGGGCTCAGCCTAAATTTAGCCGCGGTATATAAGCCGGGCGGGCGGCGGCCACTGCTGGAGCCGGAGCCCGGCGCTCCGCCCCGCCCACCGCCAGGCCACGCCCACCACCGTCTCCTTAGCGACCGCGTCAACAGGCGCGGCACAACAGCAGAGCCTGCCGGAGCCGGGTGGTACCCGGGACTCCATGGGGCACACTAGCGGGGGCTTCGGCTCCTCCAAGCAGTGTCAGCAGGGTCTTCAGCCTCAGAGAACCCCCGGGATCCTGAGTGGATGGATGGGGAGGGAGTCTGAGGTCCCCAAATACTGTCACCAGGGTCCTCACCGTCGCAGACCCACCCAGTGGGCACTCATGCCTGTGCTGTAAAATCCTTGTGTCATGTAAACTGAGGCAGGGGAATTGACAGATGTATATAAAAAATTTTAATGTGCGGCTGGAGAGATGGCTCATCAGTTAAGAACTCTCGGCTGCTCTTGCACAGGACCCTGGTTCAAATCCCAGCACCCACATGATGGCTAACAACCATCCGTAACTCCAGTTCCAGGGGATCTGACACTGTCTTCTGACCTCCGCCGGCACTGTACGACACGGGTGCACTCATACACATATAAAGATAAAAATACTTTAAAAATATTTGTAATGTAATAAAAATATTTTTTAATTTTTTTAATTTTTATTTTTGGTCTTTTTGAAACATGGTCCCTGTGTAGGCCTGGAACTCACTATGTAGACCAGGCTGGCTTTGAACGCACAGATACTCACTTGCCTCTGCCTCCTGAGTGCTGGGATTAAAGGCATGTGTCAAACCATACCCAGTTTGTAATTTTTTTAATTTAAAAAATTTTTAAAAATTTTATGTGTATGCAGGTATTGCCTGCATGTAGGTAAGTGTGCCCGTGTCATGCAATGTCCTCAGATATCAGAAGAGGCTGTCGGATCCCCCGGGACTGGAGTTACGGACAGTTGCTAGCTGCCATGTAGGTGCTGAGATTCGAACCCAGGTCTTCTGCAAGAACAACCAGTGTTCTTAACCACTGAGTCCTCTCTCCAGCCCCCATAAAACAATTTTTAAAAATAAAAGTATTGGGCTGGGGGTGGTAGCGCACGCCTTTAATCCCAGCACTCAGGAGGCAGAGGCAGGTGGATCTCTGTGAGTTCAAGGTCAGCCTGGTCTACATAGTTCCAGGACAGCTGGGGCTACAGGGAAATCCTGTCTCAAAAAAAAAAAAAAAATGGGTCTTTGGGACCTTTTCCCTCCCAGATACACCTCAAGTAAGCCCTAAATGTGCAGGGAAACTGAGGCCAGAGTACCTGGGAAGGGTTGATAGTCTGGCAAAGAAGAGCAAAGTCCCTGCCCTTGGAGACTTGATGGGACATGGGTCTGTGAAATAAAGGGCCAAAAAAGAAATAAGGTGATTGGAGAAATGGCTCAGCCACTGAAGCACTGGGTGCTCTTGCAGAAGATCAGGGTTAGGTTCCCAGCATCACATGGCACCTCACAACCACATTTACCTCCTGTGGGCACCTCCTGTATTGTTTGTGTGCTGTGTCACCAGGCCTACAGTGGCTCAGTCCAAGCTGGACAAGCAGATGGTGGAGCTCCCAAAGCTATCCCTTGTAGGGTGTGACAAGTCACCTAGGGATGGCTTGTCAGCAGTTCGGTTTCCAGCACCCACATAGGGTATTTCACAGCCACCTGTAACTTCACTTGGGGTGGGGGAACCAACATCCTGTTACTGAGGGACTCTAAGGGGTCCTGGAAAATGGAGATACCAAGGGACAACTTTATAGTGAACAACAGTATCTAAGACCTGGCATCACCGGTGGCACATGCCTGTCACCTAGCAGTCCAGCGGCTGAGGTGAAAGGATCAGAGTTCAAAGCCAGGGCTGGCCAGATGGTCCCACGGAAGAAGACACTTGCTGCCAAAGCCTGAGATCTGAGTTTAATCCCCAGATAACTCTCCTAGCAAGGGGCTGCGTTGGCCCTGCGTGCTCCATCCAGGCCGACGGCACTGGAGTCTAGGAATTTCTCCTTCCCTACGAGTGCAGGAGCAAGTTATTCCTTTGCAGCTCCTGCCCCCACAGCTGGGCTTTCAGATGCATATCTGTAGTCTGCATATCTCCTTCTAGAACCTTTCCCTTTGACATGCATATCTTCTGGTACGGGTTTGTTTAGATCTTTAGAGTAGTTTCAAATTGGCTTATTTGTTTTCTTCTGCTCGCATTTTAAGATCTTTTGTCTATTTGTCCTTTCTTCCCCAGTCTGTGGCCTGTCTTTCAAGTCTCCAATGCAAAGCACTTTTGAATGAAAATTTCTTTTCTTATTTTTTTCTTTACATTGATTTAGGGTGTGTAGTGAAGTCAAAGGGCAACTTTGTGATGTTGGTTCTCTCCTACCATGTGGGTTCTGGGGATCAAAATCAGAGCATCAGTCATCTTACAGGCTCTATAATTTTTTTTTTGGCGGGGGGAGTCTTTTTGAGACAGGGTCTCCCTGTAGCCCCAGCTGGCTTGGCAATCGCTATGTAGACCAGGACCATCTTGAACTCACAGAGATTTGCCTACCTCTGCCTCCCGAATGCTGGGATTAAAGGTCTGCACCACAATGCCCAGCTTCTATAGTTTTTTTTAAGGCAGGGTCTCCTGTACCTCAGGCTGGCCTTGAAGGATGACCTCGAACTCCTGATCCTCCAGCCTTCGGCCCCAGGTGCTGAGATGACAGGTGTGTGCCACTGTGCCAGGCCGCAGTGTTTGATTTTGGTGAAGTCTGAATTCTTAATTTTTCCTTTCACTGACTGAGCCTCTGGTGTGTCCAAATTAGAGTCACCACAAGCCCCAGGTCAGCTTTCAGTGATGTCATATGGAATTCTGTTTTCTTTGCTATTACTTTGGGCCAGGGCTGGGGACAAACCCTGGACCTCCAGCAGAGTCTGCAAGCTCCCATTGAGCTGCACCTCAGCCAACATTACAGACTTCTGAATTTTACACTGGATTCAGGAATCCATCGGTGTTATTGTTCTGTGTATAGAGCCCTCTCCTTCCTTTGTGGAAAAAGCTGTTCTTGGCTGTCTTCTGGAAGTTTCTAGCACAAATGAGTTTCTGGCTTCATCTGACCCCACTCAGTGCTGTTCTTCAAGCTGTTTAATTCTTTTCTGTACTCTTCTTTTTTTCCTTTTAGTTGTTTCCTACGTTGTTGTGTGTGTGTGGTGTGTGTGTACAGAGAACAACTTGTAGGAGTTGGCCGTCTCCTTCTACCCTATGGATCCGAGGGTTCAAACTCATATCTCCAAGGCGTCAAGCAAGTGCCTCTACCTACTGAGCCATCTTGCCTGCTCCCACATTCTTTTTTGAGACAAAGTCTCATGGAGCTCAGGTTGGCCCCCCAACTCTATATGTAGCTAATGCTGGCCTTGAACTCTTGATCCTCCTACCTCAACCTCTGAAGTGCTGGGCTGGCAGCCTCGGACCGGCTCCCCTTTGGGTTGTATTCTGGCAGCCTCTGGAATCCCATTCATCACATCATCAGCCGTCCATTGTTGTGTCCCAGTCCCCCCCACCACTTCCTGGTCAGACAAGAAACTCTTCAAAGACATCATCTCCCCTGACTCATCTCTGCGACTGATGGGCCTTGCTGCCTAGTGTGGCCACCCACTGAGGACCTCCCATGCAGCAGAGACCAAAGTTAGCCACCCCACAGCCGCCAAGGCAAGGAGCAAAATTTGAAGTTTAGTTGTGGATTAGCTGTGTGACCTTGGGTTTAACCTCTCTGAGCTTCCTTGTTTTGGGAGACAATGAGGTGACTGATGTAGATGCCCAACAGCCTCGACAAGGGAATGAGACAGATGATCCCGTCCCTGAAGGTATAGGGTCTGTCAGCATGGAGGGTGCTCAGGCTGCTGTATCCTGTGTTCAGACACCACGTTCCTGTGCAGGTCTTGAAACACCAGGTGATGAAACTCAGGTGCCCTGGGCTTAAAGTCAGATGCCAGCCATGCCTGTCTCTTGCTCTGCAACTGACCCTTGGACCAGCAGCAGTCGGAGGAGTGTGTCATGTTGGCTGCTCAGTTGGAAGCATGACTCCTGTTTGGGGGACCTGGGGACAGTCCTGAAACACCTCTATAGACCCTTCAGGTGAGCCAAGTGCGGTGGTACACAGCTATAATCCCAGCACCGAAGAAGCAGAGGCAGAGGAATGGCCATGAGTTCAAGGCCAACCCAGGTTACAGAGTGAGAGACCAGGTCTCAACAAAAAGCAAAAGGGTTGATGAGATGACTTAGCATCTCAGATGGTTGCCTCCAAGCCAGACAACCTAAGTTCGATCCTCGGGACCTACATGATGGAGAGACTCGACTCCTGCAACTTGTCCTCTGACCTCCACATGTGTGCTGTGATGCACATGTGTGCGTACACACACACACACACACACACGTATAATTTAAATATTTTATTATTTTTATTTTATGTGTATGAGTGTACCTATGTCGCGTCAATGCCCGAGGAGGTCAGAAGAGGGCATTAGATCCCCTGGAATTGGAGTTATGGGTGGTTCTGCCATGTGGGTGCTGGGATTTGAACTCTGGTCTCCTGCAAGAGCCATCTCTCCAGTTCCTCCGCCCCCCCCCCCAGAAAAACAGTGGGACGTGGTGGTGCACAACTTTAATCTCAGCACTCAGGAGTTGGATCTCTGAGTTTGAGGCCAGCCTGGTCTACTTAGTAAGTTCCAGGGCAGCCAGGGCTACACAATGAGACTTCATCTTAAAAAAAAAAAAATGGTGGTGAGGGCTGGAGAGATGGCTGAGCAGTTGAAAGCACTGGCTGCTCTTACAGAGTTCAGTTCCCAGAACCCGTATCAGGTGGTTCAGAACTGCCTGAAACTCCAGCTCCATGAGAATCCAAGGCCTCTGGTTTTTGAGGGCACTGCACTCACAT